ACAAACCATCTGGAGTCCAACAACCAATGCAGTCCTTCTTCCAGCAGTAACCTCCCTAGCCTGGTCTTTACAGGCAGGCCTTTTATCTCTCTTCTGGTCATCTGAGCTCTGACCAGAATCTGCCAAACAGAACGGCCGAAGCTGTTCCAGGGCTTCACTTGTAGATGAAATCTCCAAACCTTTCCTATCTCTTCCCAGAAGTCAGTCCCAAAAGTTTGTAATCCACATGGTCAGGTTTAGCCACAGCAACAGCCCCACTCCTGGTACTAAATTTTGTCTCAGTTACTTTTTACTCATTGCTGGGACAAAATACCTAACCCCAAAATGAAGGAAAGCTTTATTTACCTCACAGTTACTGGAGGTTTCAGTCCATACTCAGCTGGCTCCCAGGCAGAGTGGCACATGGCAGACAGCAGCAGTTCCTGGCAGCAGAGAACAATGAAGAGCAAAAAGAAGGGCAGCAGCTGTAGATTGTAGCAAGCTTCTCTCTCCTTACCTTGTAAACAAGCTACCCTGGGTTGGGGGGTGGGTGTAGAACTCACACAATGTCCATGCCCTCCTCTTACACAAGATGAGGATGTTTACAAACTAAGAATCCTGGCTCCCTGCTGAGTCACTTAATTAAACTTCTAAACTTCTCAAGTTGACACAATGTATCGAGCACTATAAGCTACAACTACTTATGTTATGGACTTATAATAATAAAAACATATTATGAACAACTCAATGACTGCATATTTGATAGATAAAAGGGAAAAATTCTGTGCCTTGCTGTTAATGAGTAGGATATGATAGAAATGATGGGATATTTCTTCGGAGAGTAAAAAACCATGTCTTGACCTGCCATCTCCCATCAAATGCTATGTTGTGAGGAGACCCAGAAAGTCTATAAGTAGACCTACATGACAATCAAAGTCTGGTAACAGCCACATAAATTAACTTAGAATCAGATCTTATAGGATGTGATGACAGATGCCAGTAATCCCAGCACTCTTGGAGGCTAAGGCAGAAAGTCTGCCAGTTCGAGCCCAGCCCACTTGACTTAGAATCTTATTGATATGCTGTCTCAAAAAACTCTTTTACATGAAGGCTGGGACTGTAGCTCAGTGCAAAAACCCTGCATTCAGTCTCCAGCATGGAAAAAATTAATAAAGAGATCTTCCGAGGGCTGCCAACAGTTATGTGAAGGAGTTTGGATGGGGACAAGTGAACATGGACCAGCTACAAATATGGCTGGTAGTAAACTAAACATAGTTCAAATGATACTTCGGCATGAGAGACTGAATGTAACGTTGAGCTGCCTAAGCCATGCCTGGATGCCTGACCTACAGAGGCTGTAGCACAGTAAATACTTGTTATTTTATTTTTTAAACACTTGTTATTTTAATTTGTACATGTTTGGTACAATTTGTTAAGCAGCAGTAGATAACTATTACATATTCTGACCAGGAATTTCTACTTCAATATATCTACACTAAGCAAAGCAGTTTTTCCAATCCTTTTACACATCAGAACATATGTCAGAAATCATGCTACTGTGGTACCTCAATTCATGAATTTAATTCTGTCTTTAATTCTGGTGACAAAATCAAATTGGTTGAGAACCAAACCAAATCCAATGGTTAGGTCCAATGTGGACCCTATGAAGAGATTTGATTCAGTTCTCATCTAATTCAGTTTGTGACCAAAACTGTGGAAAGAATTAAGTTCGTGAATCGAGGTGCCCACCAGGTGCCACTGCATCTGGATTATCTCACTGGGATAAATAGATGTCTGTTATGGGCTAGAGACAATTGTCCCCCCGGGTAACAGCTGGGGAGGGCAGGCCAATCTTCCTGAAAGTCTGTGGGAATCAGTCAACCAAAACACCCATAAGCCAATTGAGAAGCTCTGCCCTAGAGAAACTTCCATATGGGCGCAAGGAGCCATGAAGTAAGACGTCCACTGAATCCTCATAATTGAACAAGACAACTCAAATCCATCAGTAAGGAAAGAAGTAAACTACATAATTTTTTGCAATAGAATTCCACACAATAAGTATATCATAGTAATATTACATTTAAAAAACTGATAAAATAGCATTTAGCAGTTGAAATGCATGATCTCCATCTACAAGTATCAAAGCTGCCAAATTCCAAACATAATAGAGTGAAAATTTAAGATGTGAAATGATGTATTTATCATACAGCCTATATAATTTAAAACATGCAGATTAATTATGTGAATGGATTGTAGAAACAGAAAAACAACATGATAGACTCGGGAGATAGCTTGGTGGTCTGAGCACCTGCCTGGCAAGTGCAAGGACCTGGGTTTGATCTCTGGCACCACATGCCATACTGGCCCTGGAACCCCAAGCACGCTGTGTGCGCCCCCAAACTGGGTGTGGTGGCACATGCCTCCCAGTACTAGGGAGGCTGAAAACAGGCGGATTACTATGAGTCCCAGCTGTGTAGCAAGACTCTGTACCACATAAATAAATAAATAAATAAATAAATAAATAAATAAATAAAATTTAAAACAGACAAACAGGGGTCAGTGCGATAGCTCAGTGGAATAAGTGCCTGTTTAGGCAAGAGCAGGGACCAGGGCTCGTTCCCCGGCACCACACGCCACGCCAGCCCTGCCTCTGGGTGCACTGAGCCTGCCACCAAGTCCAGGTACGTTTGTGCTTGTGTATAATCCCAGTACTGGGGAGGCTGAAAACAAGATTACTATGAACCAGAGCTGTGTAGTGAGACCCTTTGCCACACGCATTTAAAAAATAAATAGGGGCTGGGGAGATGGCTCAGTGGAATATGCGCTTCCCTGGCAAGCGCAAGGGCCTGAGTTCAATCCCCAGTTCCGCCTAAAAATAAAAAATAAATAAAACAGAAAAACAACACTGATAAAAAGGAAACACATCAACTTCCAAATGGGGCTTATTTGCAGGAAAACAGTTAAAGTGAATAGGATAATCTGAGCATGATGGTGCATGACTGTAATCCCAGCACCTTCAGAAACTGGGGCAGAAAGATTGAAAGTTTGAGCCTGGGCAATTAACAACTTAGCCAAATCCTGTCTCAAAGTAAAATAATAAAAGAATGATGGTGACAGGCTGGATGTGTAGCTGTGTGAAGGTCCTGGGTTCAATCTCCAGTACTAGGGAGGGAAAAAAAGTGATTCAGGGCACCAGCTGTCAATTTTTGTTCCAAAAATAGAAGGATCTGAAGATCTGAAGGAAATCACGTTTGCTCAATTTATATGGCAGACACATTTGAATGTGGGTTTTATACCCTATTCATTTCTGTATGCTTGAGACGTTTTAATTTTGGGGGCGGTTTGTTTTGAGTTTTGAGACAGGATCTTACTGTGTAGTTCAGACTGACCTTGAATTTACTATGTAGTCCTGGTTGTCCTCTGACTCATGGATCCTCCTGCCTCAGCCTGCCAAGCACTGGGCTTACAGGCACGCACCACCATGCTGTTAGAAATATTTAAACTATTTTTATAAAAGAAAATACATTCTTTCTTGGTACAAAAATGAATACACATTTGGTCGGGCTTGTTCATCATATTGTTTGATCTTCCTGTGTCACTATTTTGCTGTCTGATCCACGTATGCCATAAAGGAAAGGTTAAATCTTCTGCCCCAGTTGCAGGCTTCTTGATCTCTTTTTACATTTCTAACAGTATTTACTTTGTGTACTTTTAAACCTCGTTGTTTGGCACATAAATTTCCCTGATTATCATATCTTTTCTGGAGAATGAAACAACTTGTTCCCTCTGATGCTTTTTACTGTGATCTCTGTATTAGTATTGCTACAAGACTCTCCTCTCCTTTCTTTCCTTTTCTTTTTGTTGTTTTCTTTACCTCCATCTTTCCTTTCTTTTCTTTTCTGCTAGCGTTTAACTGGCATATATTTCCATTTCTATTTCTGCTTTATGTGAAACTTGTATAAACTTTTAAAATGGAATGCCCAAGATAAGAGTTTGCTTTTTTAAATTTTTTTATTTTTTGCAATACCAGGGATCAAACTTGGGACCTTGCACTTACCAGGCAGATGCATATACTGCTGAGCCATCTCCCCAGCTCAAGTTTGCTTTTTTTTTTTAAATTTATTTCAAGTTTGCTTTTTAATAGGAAACCACTAACATGTCCCAACATATTTGGATTTATTCTTGTGCTTGTGTTTTCTTTTTATATCCTTTCTTCTTTTACCCCCCCCACCTCATATTTTGCCCTTCATTAGAATTTATCTTAGTTCCACATATTATTCCTTTAATGGTTTGAAATTTATAGTCTACTTCTGTTCTGATGCTACCCTTAAACGTTTAACTATTACAGTCTTTCCTATAAGAACATAACTCTGCTGCTGTTGTGAACACAGAAATGCTTCACACAGACTGCATCTAAAAAGGACTGTAGAGAGCACATCAACCCATAAAGGCATACCTATATGATTTTTAAAATTGTGATGCAATTACTAGAATGCAAATCCATGTTAATGATTGATCGTTTCTTTTGAACAAGCTTGATTTTACAAGGAACAGCAACAAATTCCACACCAGTTTCAATTAGTTTGAACCACCAGGTTAAAAAAAATTAAGCTTGTTGTAACTCTAGATGCACATTTTTAATACTCTCAGACAAACCATAACATAGCATATAACACAGTATGTGAAATCGTAGCATAACTACTCTCATATTGGAATTAATCCGAAAGGATTTAAAGATTTCATTTTATTAATAAAATAAACCAGAATCAAAAGGAATGTGGCTATTTAACATTTGTTAACGCTGGCTGTTTAGTACATTTTTTGCGGTCCTTTCCTGTATCCTTGACGATTTCATCATTTAAAATGAAATTGCTCTCAGACTCAGTGCTATCCTCCCTCCTCCTCCCCCTCCTCCTCCCCTTCCCCCTCCCCCTCCCTCCTGCCCCCCGCCCCCCGCCACATCAAGGGGGCGGGGCCTGTGACGCCACAGTCACTTCCGCCGCAGCAGTCAACGACAGCCCCTCTGTTGCGTGCAGGGGGAGGAGCCCGAGACCGGGAGCAGTGGCTCTGGCGGTCGGTCGTGGCGGTCGGAGGTCCCAGAGCTCTGCTCCTCAGAAGAGCGTGTGGCTGTCTCAACTGGGTGAGTGAAGGAGCGATCGTGTCCATGGCTCGCCCCTGCGCTGGCGGCGGGGCGAGTGGCCGGGCGCGGGCGCGCGGGTCTACGGGGTGATCTGGAGACTCTTCGGGGTCGCCCCTCGGGAAGGGGTGGAGTGGAGGGGAGCCCGACTGCAGAGTGAGGCCAGTGTCCTCCGTTGGCCGACGGGAGCCCAGCCTCCTGCGCCAGCCCTTCGGCACGGCGCCCCTAAGGGAATAGATTTAATGGCTATCTGAGAGGGGAGTGGTTGGTGGTCCGGGGCCTTCGGCCACTTCTACCCGCCTCTCTTTCCTCCTTCCTGGGCCACTTTGAGGAGCATCCCACCCCGCCCCCTACTTTGCGGCTGTTTTGGCTAATGGTTAAGACTTGTAGGCAAAAATAATTTTCACAGGAAAAGTGTCAGGAAAAATAATTTATCCTCATGGAGAAACTATGTTCACACATGTCCTTTCTTTTGCCCCCTTCCCTGCCACAACGATGTGAGTGTGCCCTTAGAGCTGATAACATTTTCCTGACTCTTCTTACACCCCTCCCCCCATTCTACCCGACATGCGCGCGCACACTGAAACCTTCCGAGGCAGCCCCCTCCTTACCCCACCGTCCTCGAGGTTCCAGTGGGTCCCCTCCCCCACGCATGCGCAAATACGCACGCCCGCACCCTCTCACACACCCTCCATTGCCTTTCCCGGACACACAACACACACGCACTCACACATGACCTCAGACCCTCCCCCACCCCTCAGGCCCTACCACAGGCAACCTCTAGATCCTACCCACCCCCCTTTTCTGTGCTGGGTCCTCTAGTGTGCACCGGCACACAGGCGCACGTACACACTCTCCAAAAGCACCCTCCTGCTCCCTGCCTGCCACATGCATGCATAAGAACATCTTTTACTTGCTGGCCACTGAGACTCCCCAACACCCCCACAGGTTAGATAACCTTTTCAGATAAGCTCCAGCTCTGCCTGCCATGTGTATAGATAACCTTTTTTTTTTTTGCCAGTCCCCATGGTGTACACACGCAGGCAGTTAGAAATCCTTGTCTGGGGACACTGCCCCCTTCCTGCCTGCTGTATTCACACATGCAAACAATGTGATTGCTGGCCCCTGTGCCATCTGCCCCATGCAGATATCCCTCTTCAGTATTGCTGCCACCCTGCCCTGCTTGCATTTGTAAATACTGACATTTCTTCACTTTTTGTGTTCCATTTTTACTAACACACACATACACACACAACTCTCACACACTCCTCTCCATTACCACCATAGCTTTCCCTGCCTCTGATGTACACGTAACATAGGATTCCCTCCATAATTTCAGCTACCTTTCCTACAGCTCCAACCGCTCCAGCTCCCATACTTATACACACCCCTTTCCTGAAGCCACCCCACTCATGCCTGCCATCTTTGTACCTAGATTCAGAGCAGCTCGCATTCTAGCACTCATGCCCTTCCCCCTCCACACGTAGCCATTCCTCCATTGCAGGACTGTTGGCTCCCTGTCCACCTGTCCCTTTCCTGATGGACACAGAGACACGTACACACAGTGATCTACATTTTCTGCTCTTCTAATTTGCATTTCTCTTAAATCTGCGAGGCTTAGATAACACAAACATCCCATAAAAACATGGCAGACTGTTTTCTTCCTAACACTGGCACAATTCCACAGTACTTCACCCACATTCAAAGTATCTAGTCACCTTCCACCTTCTGTCAGTCACGTTCTCCCCCATGTCTGGCCTTCCTGCAAACCCAGTCTTGTAATCATTTTGCCAACATTACAGATGTGTTCCAGGTCTACACCTGACAGTCACTGGAATGCTACTCCAGGCCTTAGAAGAAAGTGAAACTAATTTAAAAGGCCCCTTATCCCTCTGTTACCTGCCTGCTGAGGTGAAACTAGATCTCCCTGCTCCTTTATTCTGAACTGATTTGACCTTCCCAGCTCAAAAATTTGTGCAGGGAGCAGGAACCCCTGGCTGTATTGGAGCCCTCCTAAGTCAGAGCCATGGGTCAGGAATCTAGCAAGCCTGTATGGCCCAGATCAGGAGGGTATCAATCTAATACAGGCAGGAGGTATGGAAGAAGGCATGCTTATGTCAGTTTCAGGCCATCCACGAGCCAGCAGGAAAGGATTGCCAGCCAGAGAAAGACGACATCTGAAGTCCCAATGCACAGATCAGCCCCCACTCAGTCCACCAAGAGGAGCCGGTCGCCATTTTCCACCACTCGTCGTACTTGGGACGACAGTGAGAGCTCAGGTACCAGCCTGAATGTTGAAAATGAGGACTATTCAAGGTATCTGCCAAGAGAATTCAGGGCTTCGGGGAGCAGAAGAGGACTGTCTTATGGACATGTTGATGTTTTTGGGGCAGATGATAGCGAGGAGGAGGGGGCTGGGCCTGTTGAGCGACTGCCAGTGAGAGGAAAGCCTGGCAAGTTTAAGGAGGATAAGCTGTATGATCTGGAAAAAGGGGCAAGGTCTCTGGTGGGGGTGCCTCCCCAGTTTGCTAGTTTCAACCACAATGTGAGAGAGGAGTTTGACAAGTTCGACCTGTCCCCTGCAGCGAGACGCTCTGCTACCAGAGCTGAGTTCCTGAGGCAAAATAGCGTGGCCTCTCAGACATCTCCTGTTGAAGGAAAGATGGCCGCCAATGGAGACAGCTTGGAGAGGGAAAGACGGGAGCAGAATTTCCGAGCACGGGCCAGCAAGGCTCCCGTGAGTGTGTGTGGTGGTGGGGAAAACACTGTGAAGAGTGCTGAGGAACCAGTGGTAAGGCCTAAAGTCCGAAACCTGGCTAGCCCAAACTTCGTGAAACCAAAAATATTTTTTGATACCGATGATGATGACGATATGCCGCACAGTACTTCCAGGTGGAGGGACACTGCTAGCGCTGATGAGGGCCGCTCCGGTGGCTCAGCCAGAAGAAGCAGAGGTGAGAGCTCCGGTGGCTACACTGAGCCGAGGTACCCTGAAGACAAAAGGGATGCCAGGAACGACCAAGTGAAGCCAGAGAAGGTGCCCAGGTGGCGTCGCCCTGTGGTTGACCCCGACTTCTGGACCTACAATGATGAGAACTACAGATACTTTGATGAAGACTCTGATAGTGATAAAGAGTGGATCGCTACTCTGCGCCGGAAGTACAGAAGTCGAGAACAGCCCCTGTCATCCAGTGGTGAAAGCTGGGAGACTCTGATGGAAAAAGAAAAGTACGAACATCCACAAGCTAGAATGAGCATGAGTGCTGCTAGTATCAGCTCTGGCCCTGGCGCCGGAGCTAGTGAGGTTGCTGGAGCCAGTGCTGGTGCCAGTGCCATTGCAGGTGCTGGTAGTAAAGGTGCTAGCTATCTGGAGGAAGTTCAAGGGCCATCGATTCAGGAAGAGGAACGGGCATCCCTGGAAGAAGGAGAAATTCCTTGGCTGCAGTACAATGAAAATGAGAGCAGCAGTGAAGGAGATAATGATTCTGGTCATGAGCTGATGCAGCCAGGGGTGTTCATGCTGGATGGAAACAACAACCTCGAAGATGACTCCAGTGTCAGCGAAGACCTTGAAGTGGATTGGAGCCTCTTTGATGGCTTTGCCGATGGGCTCGGTGTGGCTGAAGCCATCTCTTACGTGGATCCTCAGTTTCTCACTTACATGGCCCTCGAAGAGCGCCTGGCCCAGGCCATGGAAACTGCTCTTGCACACTTGGAGTCCCTCGCAGTAGATGTCGAGGTGGCCAATCCGCCAGCAAGCAAGGAGAGCATTGATGCGCTTCCTGAGATCCTGGTCACGGAAGATCACGGTGCGGTGGGCCAAGAAATGTGCTGTCCGATCTGCTGCAGCGAGTATGTGAAGGGCGAGGTAGCGACCGAGTTACCATGCCATCACTATTTCCACAAGCCATGCGTGTCTATATGGCTGCAGAAATCAGGCACCTGCCCTGTGTGCCGCTGCATGTACCCCCCTTCACTCTAATGACCAAGGCTCTTTACTCCTGGTCGCATTGTTGCCCCATCTGAAACCCACGCTACTGCAGGAGCCCTCTCGGAATTAATGAAAATGAAACCAGTTGGTCAATTAAACCTGTTGATTCCTTGTGATTATTTCTAATGTGAAATGGTTGTGTCTGATTGCATTAAAAATCACTTGTCTTTTAGAGGTTAGAAAGGCAAAACTAAACTTTGTAAATGCTACTTGAGATTTAAAGAACATTTAAATGTTCTTTGAACATTTTCTAACCTGGAAGTTGAAATAAGTCACATTTGTTTTCTTAAGTACAATATGTTGCTATTAATTGTAATGTCAAGCTTCACATGTTAAACATGTCCAGAAAGAAAAATCATTTTTGTTGCATGTTCTGGGTTAATGTTCCTGTAATTGCAGTGCTATAAAAGCTTATTAAAGTCCTTTGGTTTTACATGGTATAACAGGATTGTTTGGTTTTGTCTGAAGTAGTGGTACCAAAAGTGACTGTATAATCAATCCTTTGTACTTATTCTTTTTGGTTTTTTGTATTTTAGGGAAGGGTTGGTCTACAGGGTGTTCACGGTCTCACTACTAGGTCCGACTCATAGTGATCCACCTGTTTACAGCCTCCCAAGAGCTGGGATTACAGGAGTGCGCCACCACACCCAGTCTCTATTGCTGTCTCAGCATGCCCCGGGTGTGGGGCTGGAACAGCAGGCCTTCGGACTGAACCCCCAGTTTAATCTGCTGAGCTTTTTAGCCACAGCCTTCCTTGTACTTATAAAAAAATGAGGGAGGTGTTTTTTGCTGCGTAGTGTTCCCAACAGTAGGAGAATTTTAGTTTTCACTCAGCATGCTGAAACCCAAAACAATGTGTGTGTATATGGAATGATTTTTTCACATAGAAATAAAATACATAATTTGTAATATAGGGAAAGGTAGAATAGAAAAAAGAAGGAAGGAAGAAACAATGAGATCGTCGTAACAGTGGTAGGAACAAACTCGAACTGAGTGCAGGGATGAATGAATTAAAAATCACCTTTGAGAAAATAAGAGACTCTCAGAGGGAATGGGTAAAAATAAAGCTGCATGCCACTTACATACCTTAACACTGTGACACAGATAGGGGTAGAGAGTGTACACCAGACAAGAACTTGAGGAAAAGAGGTGCCCATCTACAGTATGAATAGGTTTGAATATGTGGCTACATTTGCTTTAGAGTGTGCTTCTTGCTAATAAGAATTTTCAGGCATAGGTGAAATATCTCGGGGATGGGGAGATAACTCAGTAGAATAAGTGCTTGCCTTACAAGCACAAGGGCCTGAGTTCAATCCCCGGTTCCGCCAAAAAAAAAAAAAAAAAAAGAAAATACCTCACTCCACTGTATTTACCTTCACCCTCACATGGATGGAAGCCCTGCCCAGAAAATGGTATATTAACTTCTTGTATGTCTGTAGATTTATGTAGGAGTGTGTGTATATGTGTGTATCACTATATGTGTCTCCATAACCAAGAGAGTACTTAACATTTTAGGTAGAATATGTGTTACCATTTTGCAATTTTTTTTTCACTCTGTACTTCGGAGACTTAGCCATTTTAGAATGTGTAGTTTTAACTGCCATATAAAAATATTCAAAATATTATATGAATTAGCAGAGTTTCTCTGTTCCCCTATGGGTGGACATTCAGGTCCTCACCAGCATTTTGTGGCAGGGAACACACTAGAAAGCCCTTTTTGCACATGAATACAAGGTCTAGGTCCCAAAGCTTGAGACTGGACGCTGCTAAACTGCTTTCCCAAGTGGGTGCACTAATATATGCTCCTGCCAACTTTTGTGAGGCCTGTTCCCTCATGTCTGAGAAGCCCAGATATTGTAATCATCCAGTATCACTGGGAATCAGTGATGTGTAAATTAATACACTAGTGAAACATACTGTGCTCATAAGAAAGCAGAGGTTTTTCTTTTTTTTTTTTTTTTTGTATTTTACAGAAGGGTCTACAGGGGTGTTCAGGGGTCTCACTACTAGATCAGACTTGCAGTGATCCGCCTGTTTATAGGCTCCCAAGAGCTGGGATTACAGGCGGGCCACCACACTGAGTCTCAATTGCCTTCTGAGCACACCCTGGGGGCAGGGCCGGCACAGCAGGCCGGGGATCGAAACCCCAGCTCTTGGGTTCCTGCACCTGCTTGCAGGCACTTTAATCTGAGCTTTTTGGCTGGCCCTGCAGTGGTTTTTCTTAACATATCTAGTTTGGGCTAAATGAGAAGATATAAGTAGTAGGTGTGCATGTAAATTCTACCAGCAGCTTTTTTTACAGCAAAATTCAGGCAGTAACTGTCAACAGGTAAAGTGACCCAAGTCCTTCACCCGTCTTGGATACTTCGGTAGTATGAGATTAATGCAATTCAGCATTGTGTCAAAAATTAGTGTCAAGTACTGATGTGAAAAGATCTCCAAGATACAATTTTTTTAAAGCATAATATATCCCTGGCAAGCACAAGGGCCTGAGTTCAATCCCCGGTTCTGCCAAAAAAATAAAAAAATAAAAGCATAGTATAGAAAAATATATGCAGTCAATGTAAAAACAAAACCAAACTACATGAAATGCATGAAAATATCTGGAAGGCTACTACTTCCTGATGGTAGAGGATACCTCTGGGGAGGAGTTCAGGACTGAGGCAAAGGAGTGGAGAAGAGCTTTTGATTTTTCACTGGAAGTAGTGCATTTTCTTGATCTGTTGTTTCCTAGTCAGGCTGAAGGCAAAATTTAAAAATTGTCAGCCAAGTACAGTAGTGCATGCTACTTGGGAGGCCAAAACAGGATTGCAGGTTTGATCCACCCTGGGCAACTTAGCCAGAGCCAGTCTCAAAATAAAGAGGCCTGAGGGTATAGCTCAGTTTCAGAGCACTTGCCTGGTGCACACACAGCTCTGGATTCAACCTCTGGTACCACAGAAAACTTACTTAAAAAAAAACCAGAAAGAAAATAGCATTCTCCCATTACACATAACAGAAACATGGATAGAAGCCACAGTCCTGTTCGTGCAACTGGTTAGGCTGATGCTATGACTTCATTCCTCACCAGCCACTCCATGGTCCCCCTTGCCCTTTAGCCAGCACCTCAGCCGGTGATGGAGACTCCGAATCTGAGTCCTTGCATGGCCCTTTTTGGTGGGTGATGGTGACTTGCAATGACCTTTTTGTGTGCCCTGAGTGGCACCACACAGGAGGCTTTTGAGGAGCAGAGTTGGGTCCTGATCATGTTCCTCCCTGCCCCCATGGTGCAGCAGTGACCCTGCTTCCCAGAGAAGGCACCTACCCAGTGTCCACAGGCCCCCGCCGCTGTTGGAAAAGCCTGCCACTGCAGAGCGCCGGGCAGGGCAGCTGTGCCAGGAAGGCTCACAAGGCCAAGCTGCGGGCCCTGGGGGCCCTGAACAGCTCAGATGGTCCTGGGGCCCCAGATAAGGCTACCAGAAGTCTGCAGAGAGAGTCTGAGAAACAGGTGTTCTGAAGCATTTGTGCTCCTGTGCTCTGTGGTGATGGTGGTGGCGGCAGCAGCAGCAGCAGTGGCGATGCAAGGCCACACTGGTGTTGGGACCATAGCTCCAGTGGCAGGCTGCGGCTGTGCCTTTGGCTGTCCAGTTCCCTTACCCTGTCAGTTTCTGATTTTCCAGCCTCCCTGACAGCTCCCCAGCCCCTTCCTAGCTTTCTAATACATCCTGATTAAGTTAGCTAGAGCTACTTTTTTTTTCTTGGCGGAACTGGGGCTTGAACTCAGGCCCTTGCACTTGCCAGGGAAGCGCTTATTCTACTGAGCCATCTCCCTGGCCCCTACAGCTACTTTCTATCCTTCGTAACAATCCCAAATGTCACACATGCTAGCACTTTTGCTCCTGCTTTCTTGGTCCTCTGCAATATCCCACATGGCCAAGCATCAGGCAATTTCTGTTTTCAAAGCAGCGGACTCATTATTGGCACCAGGAGCCATGGTTCTAGAATAGCAGGCTTCGGGGGCCTCTAGCCGCAAAGCAGTCATTTCTGAAGGTAGGTTGTTTGGTGTGCTCACTGAAGTACCACCACATGTTGGTTTTTGCCATTGCCTTCTGCCCAGGGGGTAAATAACTCCACATTTTGGTCACTAATTGGAGTATAAACCACTACATCTTGCTAGAGGACACTGTAGCTTCCTAAGGTGCCCTGCCCTGCTGGCATCACAGCTGTACCCTTCTAAGACCTCTCCTGGGTGCTAAGGCCCTGCCTGCTCTTAGACCTCTGCTCCTGCAAAACCCTTCCATATTTGTGCCTCAGGACCCCAAAATGCCCTTCCAGCCCTGTCTCAATTCTGTTCATACTTTCAAAAGTTCATATGCTAAGTTCTGAAAACAATGTTTGGATACCCCATAGCTTCTGCCCTCTCTGGCTGCCTTCTGAAGTTTCTGAGGTGAAGAGCTCTGCCGGAGTCATTTGTACAGTCCTGGCATATGTGCTTGACAAGTGTCTGGAAACACTTGCTGGCAGGGTGGCTAGATTTCTCTCCCAGTGGGCTTGGGTGTGCTGTGAGAGCCAGCAGGATCATGGCAGCCTGACCTAACTAGGCTCCAGTGGCCCAGGCTCAGGTGCCGCCCCCCACCTCTGGCATCCCTGTCCCTCCCTTCGTCCCACCCTCTTGTGGCCTCAACCTCAGTCCCATTTTCTGTGTGTCCTGCCAAATCCCCAGTGTTCTGGAGACTGCTCTCAGGCTTAGGACCCCTAGGAATGACAGGACATCATGTAAAGGTGTGCTGGGTGGAGCCTCTGACCAACAAGGTTGGTTAAGGCACTGGCCACCTAGCCCCAGCCTTGGACAAAGTGTTGGCATGGAGCAAGCCAAGTCCTGGGGCCCCTGAGCCAGCCCTTCTGCTGCCCTGTTGGTGTCTGTAGAATGATACTTCCGGTCCCTGTGTGCCTCCCATATTCTTATTTCTTGCCTCCCAGCCTCACTCTCCTGGCCTGTGTGGGTGTGCACGCCTATGTGTGAAAGCTCAGTGAGGCTTCACAGTCCCTTACATTGGTTCAACTTTCCCAGAACCCTTTGTGTTTAGTCAGTTTCACTGGCTCCTTCCAGAAGATGAGTGACAAAGAGACTGGGTGCAGAAATGGAGTGGTGCTCTCTAGACAGCAGAAATATCTCTACTTGGTGGGGGACAGTAACAGGAATGTGTTTTCCACACCAGCTATAATCCTGGTGGTGAGGAGCAGGCTGGGATGTGGATGTTGGTGGTGATGGTGTAAAAGCCCGAGCGAGCCCCAGCTAGGCCCTATTCAGCCCTTCTGGTCACAAGTGTCGGGTACAGGCCCCTGTAGCCCAGCCTAAGGACACATTTTGGACAAAAGGACAGGAGGCATTTTGGTGGGAAGAAGAGAAGACAGATATGGAGGAGGCCTCCTACCAAGGTGTTTGGGGCTGGGGGAC